TGTGAGGAAAAAAAAAAACAGCGCAACCTCGTGCCGTGTTCGACTGAATGTTTCACGGCTGTTGTTGCCGGTCATTTGCGGGGGGTCCAGCGGGTCGGGCGTTTTTTTTTAATCACTTGAAAATTTGCTTTAATTTGCATGAACTCATGTCTATTGGGTAGATTTATCATATTTAGGAGGTCGTTTTTAATTTGATGGAGCATGAACGTGTTCACACCTCTCAAAAAGTCGTCTGAAAAATTATTGATATAAAATACATATCGCCCTAGAATCAGTGGTAGGCTTTTAATTGCTTCGCTTTCACTTTCACTTCCAGTCGCCGGGGTCGTCCTTCCCCTCCGATCCTTCCGCTGTCTTCCGCCGAAATGCACTCGTGTGCAAGAAAGTAATTAAAAAATTGTTTAAATATATATTTAAAATAAATAAATAAATAAATAACCTCTCCAGACTCTGGAACCGACCCCATCCCAGCTCCCAAGGGAAGGAAGGGCGCGAGATAAGGCGAGATAAGGCTAATCGGCGGATAAGCGGAGACGAGGGGCTCCGCGCCGGCTCCAGTGTTCCGTGCTCCTCGAGTGCGTCGCAGTGTCGCGATTTCGCCTTCTCCTCCCAGTTTCACGGTAGTTTCATCTCAAGCATAATTTTAAGAAATTTGCACTTAGAGTGAAACGGAATAGATATTATTTGTTCAATTTGTCACCTAAAGTTGTTTTTTTTTTTCCAAGACTCTTAAACTCGGGCACCGTTCGGGTCGAGAGCATGGACGTTCGCCTTCTCTTATTCAACATCCATTAACGGACTAATCAAACGTGAAATTCACATATCATAAATTGTTTTGGGGGTATTTTTCTCCTTCCAAAGGAGCCTGGTCATACATACTGGCCCAGATGTCACGATTCTGGTTCATGAGAACATTTTACCTGGCATCATGGCGTCGCTTTTTTGCTTTGGGGGTTCTGATTCTTAACCGATCGGGTTACGCCATGGGAATTTCTTAATTTTTTCGTCGAAAGTTATGCGATGGTTCTGCATGAATTCTGGGGGATTGATTGGACACTTTCTGGAACTCCTCGGAACGAATTGCTCTCTTCTGTTGCAGATGACGTCCATGAAGTCCCAATGCGACCACTGTGCCACGTTTCACACTATCTTGGGGAGAATCTTAAAAGAGAATCGTCTTCGATCTTCAGTCGACGACTATGTCCAAGATGAGGCTTTCGGAGATGAAGCCGTCAAAGATGAAGCCGTCAAAGATGAAGCCGTCAAAGATGAAGCCGTCAAAGATGAAGCCGTGAAAGATGAAGCCGTCAAAGATGAAGCCGTCAAAGATGAAGCCGTCAAAGATGAAGCCGTCAAAGATGAAGCCGTCAAAGATGAAGCCGTCAAAGATGAAGCCGTCAAAGATGAAGCCGTCAAAGATGAAGCCGTCAAAGATGAAGCCNCACTTCTGCAAGGAGGAGATGAAGCCCGGATTGCACGACGGTTCCATGAGCGGGAAGCACGATCTGCTTTCGGTTCTCGTTCTCGGCGATTCCATCTACTGCGTGTTCGTCCGCGCGAAGGCCATCGACTGCGGGAAGAGCGCGAAGACCATCAAGGACGCGCTGAGCAAATCCGTGCAGGAGTTGGAGAAGGACTTCCGGGTGTTCCGCGCGTCGAACCGCGAAGTGCGAGGGAAGAACGTCCTCCTCTTCGGATTCCCCGCCTTCCCTTTCCTTCGGCGCTCCCAGGTGGAACGATGCCTGGGCTGCATCTCGTGCGCCGAGAAGATCGTCACCGAAGACGACATCCTCGGTCGGACGGTCGTCGACAGATCGGAGAACCTCAAAAAGTTCCTCGTCCGGCAGGGCATCCGGATCGAGCGTCGCTCTGCCTCCTCCTCGGAGGAAACGAAGCGCACGTACCGTTCGATATTCACTCGCTACGTCGCCTCGTCCACCGAAGCGGAGCACGAGTCCGTGTCTTGCCTGCCTCAGATCGCGAAGCAAATCAAGAGGATGCTGGCTTTTCTCACGCCAGAACAACACGAGATACTGGAATGCGAAGACGAGTACGTCGCGCTGCTCGGCGACTACGGAACGGGGAAAACGTGGATTCTTCAGAATCGCCTTAAAAAGCTCCTGCACGATGACGAAAAGTCTCGCGATGTGACTTCCGTGTACCTCATAAATTGCGCCCGCGATAGGGCGAATTCTCCGATGAGTGTTTTAACTCGACGATTTACCACATTTGTCGTCCAGAGTTCTATCGATTCGAGAAACGTGCACGTCCGGGATGTGTGGGACTTCATCGAGGAAAATTTACCATCGCCAACTTCGGAGAGCATGGAAAGCCACGAGTTCTACGAAGAATTAGAAAGGGCAGTGGTCGTGGCCGCCTCACGGGCGAAGGAAGCCGGAAAGATCGTTCATTTCCTGATGGACGAGTTCAGGATCCCCGGCGAAAACTTGCGTGCGACGTGGTCACCGTGGGAGAAAGCGGAAGAGTCGAAAAGGCCCGAAAGTCTCTGGATCGCATGCCGCCCTTCGAGGGAAGGAGGTTGGAGTTCCCTTGGTCGAGCGGACAGAGCCTTCCCCCAAAGTCCGCACATGAGCGAAAAGTTCCTGACGAGGAGACGGCGTACCACCACGTGCATCTCGGAGTTCTACGAGTACGAGTGCATGGAGGATGCCGGAATCGACGCGCGGGTAGGGAAGAATGCGGGTGACGTGTACACGGAGCATCCGAAGACGGTCTTCGGAACGGAAACGGAGGTCATGGACTTTCCATCGGTTGATGCCCTCGTGGCCGATGGAGTCTCTAATGGAGACTCGACGAAAATCTTTCGGATTGCTCTGGGAATCAAAACCATTCGCGAACATCTAGCAACCAAGAAGGAGAATCGAGAATTCTTCCCCATCGTCGCCATTGCGCACCTTCCGGAGGAAATGCTCCTCGACGTCCATCGTTGTATGACGGAGTTTCTCGATTTACCCTCACAGTACTTCTCATCGAAGGGAGACCTCATCGGATCGACAGATGCCGATGTGCAGATCTACCACCAAGAGGCTTTCCGAGGCTGCGAGGCCCCCTTCGTGCTCCTGATCGAGGATCGAGCGTGTGCGAGCCAGTTTTACCACGGCAGCATCATGCGGGCCACCACCCACCTCATCGTCTTGGACGACCCGGATTCGCCGCGCGAATCCATCTACAAGGCTGCTAAGCATGCTATCGTGCGAAAATTGGAGTGCAATATCTCTGATAGTGATGTTGATGCCTTCCGCCGCTTCGTCTCTCGTTGTTGAAGTGCATTCTCGACCACCTTTCCTCGAAATGCCGTATTTCCTTCCAACACTCGAGCGCTGACCTCTCCCGTCATGAACGCTCCAATTTAAATTCATTTTTGGAACTGCTTTTCTCTTGGAAGGTGGCTTATTCCGATTGAATTTGAGTTGAATCAATGAGTAAACCACTTAATCCGTTCCCATTGGGATATCCCCATTGGTTTTTTGAAGGAAATATTTATTTTTAATGTCGGTCTTGTAATAGAATATCATTCGTGACTTTGATTAGAATTAACGGATTTTGACAGCATTCATTACTTTTACAAAATATATGCCTATACAGTAAATATATGCAAGGTTGCCGCGAGATGGTACTTCATATCACGATCCTGTACAAAACAGGAAAATTCAGAGGTTGATTGATACATGAAATCGTACCCACGACACCACCGTCTAGCGGATTGTGATCAAACCACTCGACCTCCGCACCCGCCCAAAAAAGTTGGTTTGTAAGCCTGTATTTGAATGCGAGCTCACAATCCACACGGTTTGACCTTGCCCCAAGATCCACAAATAGCTGAGCGCACAGAAGGTGCTCATCCCTGTTCATCGGACGTCCAAAATGGAATGAAAGGAATGCAACATTTCTCAAGATCGTTCACGTGCCTTTTTGAGTGCGGTCATATGTATGAAGCCTGCAGGTCCCTTTTCACCCGTGATCATCCTCGGCACCAGACTATGTGGATGGAGCATTGTGTCATCAAAGGTAAAGAAAAAGAATGCTTAATTTCTCACGTCAAATTTATTCTCTTAATTCATTCAAACTCCGGTTTTGGCGGGTGACAATAGCGATTACGGAAACCAGGCGTGTAATTGGATCCATCGCAAATAGTGGAATGGGCGTATTCATGAGCCCCATCTCGAGAGTCTTTGGACAAAGGAGGTGCGGTAAAAAGAACAGAGGTTCCGCCACCTGGCAGTTAAAGAAGCAAGCTAAAGTTCAGGAAACTGAAGCGAGATAACGAGTGAATCGCCGCCGAGGCGAAGCCATTCCTCGATAGATTAGAGCCAAATCCCTGGCAAAATCCTCCCCACTAACAATATACGAAAAGCGCCAAGCGAGATTCCTGACGGCAACGCGACTTCACCAGGACTTGCAACAGGACTTACTCCACGACTTGCAACACCGGCGCTGTTGAGCGAGGACCGTGAGGGAGGACTGTGTTTGCCTCGGGAACTGCCAGATGGCAGTCCTGCTATTTCTTTCCTCACCAAAGATTTTTTTTCCCCAAGAATCTTAAACTCGGGCATGGTTCGGGTTGAGGGAAAGGACGTTCGCGATCTCCTAATCCATAGAAAGATTCATTAAACGCTAAATTCCCCTTTAAAAATGGGTTGCGTGTATTCTTCACCTTCCAACGGAGCCTGGTCATACATACTGGCCCTGATGTCACGATTCCGGCTGAAGAGAACATTTTACCTGGCGTCGCTTTTTGCTTTAGGGGATGTGATTCTTAACCGATCGGGTTACGTCAGTGGAATTTCTTAATTTATTCGTCGAAAGTTATGCAATGGTTCGCATGAATTCTGGGGGATTGATTGGACACTTTCTGGCATGCCACGTTATCGAATTGCTCTCTTCTGTTGCAGATGACGTCCCTGAAGTACCAATGCGACCACTGTGCCACGTTTCAAACTATCTTGGGGAGAATCTTGAAAGAGAACCGTCTTCGATCGTCAGTCGACGACTATGTCCAATAAGAGGCTGTCGGAGATGAAGCGGTAAAAAATGAAGCCGTCAAAGATGAAGCCGCCAAATATGAAGCTTTCAAGGCTCCTCACGAAGACCCACCAGCACCAACCACGGACGAAGCGTCGGCCGAAGCCGTCCAGCGCCTCGGCGAGTGGGATTCCCGAGCATACTTTCTCCCGTACGTCTACTTCCTCGACTCGAAGTACATCCGGGAGGAATGGAGCGAGAGGCACGGGCACGAGGTCCGGTCCAAGCAGGCAGCGAGAAGCGTGTTCGCTCCGTTGAAGGAACTCCTGCAGAAGGAGGAGACCACCTCGCTCACGGTCCACGAATACGACTTCCAGAAGACCTTCGGCAAGCACTTCTGCAAGGAGGAGATGAAGCCCGGATTGCACGACGGTTCCATGAGCGGGAAGCACGATCTGCTTTCGGTTCTCGTTCTCGGCGATTCCATCTACTGCGTGTTCGTCCGCGCGAAGGCCATCGACTGCGGGAAGAGCGCGAAGACCATCAAGGACGCGCTGAGCAAATCCGTGCAGGAGTTGGAGAAGGACTTCCGGGTGTTCCGCGCGTCGAACCGCGAAGTGCGAGGGAAGAACGTCCTCCTCTTCGGATTCCGGCGGAAGGGAAAGGAAGCCGCGAGGGTCCACCTTGCTACGGACCCGACGTAGAGCACGCGGCTCTTCTAGCAGTGGCTTCTGCTGTAGGAGCCAGCCTGCCAGCAGCTGTCTAGCCTCTTGGAGTTCAAGTTCCTCGTCCGGCAGGGCATCCGGATCGATCTTCGCTCTGCCTCCTCCTCGGAGGAAACGAAGCGCACGTACCGTTCGATATTCACTCGCTACGTCGCCTCGTCGACCGAAGCGGAGCACGAGTCCGTGTCTTGCCTGCCTCAAATCGCGAAGCAAATGAAGAGGATGCTGGCTTTTCTCACGCCAGAACAACACGAGATACTGGAATGCGAAGACGAGTACGTAGCGCTGCTCGGCGACTACGGAACGGGGAAAACGTGGATTCTTCAGAATCGCCTTAAAAAGCTCCTGCACGATGAAGAAAAGTCTCACGATGTGACTTCGGTGTACCTCGTAAATTGCGCCCGGGATAGGGCGAATTCTCCGATGAGTGCGTTAACTCAACGATATTCCACATTTGTCGTCCAGAGTTCTATCGATTCGAGAAATGTGCACGTCCAGGATGTGTGGGACTTCATCGAGGAAAATTTACCATCGCCTACTTCGGAGAGCATGGAAAGCCACGAGTTCTACGAAGAATTAGAAAGGGCAGTGGTCGTGGCCGCCTCACGGGCGAAGGAAGCCGGAAAGATCGTTCATTTCCTGATGGACGAATTCAGGATCCCCGGCGAAAACTTGTGTGCGACGTGGTCACCGTGGGAGAAAGCGGAAGAGTCGAAAAGGCCCGAAAGTCTCTGGATCGCATGCCGCCCTTCGAGGGAAGGAGGTTGGAGTTCCCGTGGTCGAGCGGACAGAGCCTTCCCCCAAAGTCCGCACATGAGCGAAAAGTTCCTGACGAGGAGACGGCGTACCACCACGTGCATCTCGGAGTTCTACGAGTACGAGTGCATGGAGGATGCCGAAATCGACGCGCGGGTAGGGAAGAATGCGGGTGACGTGTACACGGAGCATCCGAAGACGGTCTTCGGAACGGAACCGGAGGTCATGGACTTTCCATCGGTTGATGCCCTTGTGGCCGATGGAGTCTCTAATGAAGACTCGACGAAAATCTTTCAGATTGCTCTGGGAATCAAAACCATTCGCGAACATCTAGCGACCAAGAAGGAGAATCGAGAATTCTTCCCCATCGTCGCCATAGCGCACCTTCCGAAGGAAATCCTCCTCGACGTCCATCGTTGCATAACGGAGTTTCTCGATTTACCCTCACAGTACTTCTCATCGAAGGGAGACCTCATTGGATCGACAGATGCCGATGTGCAGATCTACCACCAAGAGGCTTTCCGAGGCTGCGAGGCCCCCTTCGTGATATTGATCGAGGATCGAGGGTGTGCGAGCCAGTTTTACCACGGCAGCATCATGCGGGCCACCACCCACCTCATCGTCTTGGACGACCCGGATTCGCCTCGCGAATCCATCTACAAGGCTGCTAAGCATGCTATCGTGCGAAAATTGGAGTGCAATATGTCTGATCGTGATAGAGATGCCTTCCGCCGCTTTGTCTCTCGTTGTTGAAGTGCATTCTCGACCACCTTTCCTGGAAATGCCGTATTTCCTTCCAACACTCCAGCGCTGACCTCTCTGGTCATGATCGCTCCAATTTAAATTCATTTTTGGAACTGTTTGTCTCTTGGAAGGTGGCTTATTCCGATTGAATTTGAGTTGAATCAAAGAGTAAACCTCTTAATCCATTCCTATTGGGAAATCCCCATTGGTTTTTTGAAGGAAAGATTTATTTTTAATGTCGGTCTTGTAATAGAATATCATTCGTGACTTTGATATGAATTAACAGATTTTGACAGCTTATGCATATACAGTAAATATATGCAAGGTTGCCGCGTGATGGTACTTCATGTCACGATCCAGCACAAAACAGGAAAAGGGAACTCAACTCAGAGGTTGCTTGTGCATCGAATCGTACCCACGACACCACCGTCTAGCGGATTGTGATCCCGACATTCAAACCGCTAGACCACCGAACCTGCAAGCGCACCATTAAGTGTCTCAGAAAAGAGTACTCACGTTTGATCGATGCAGACATGACGTCTCGATTTGAAGGCGAAATGTGGATTCGTCAGTCTCGACACTGTCGAGAATGGCGATAGCGATGATGATGTCCATCGGCGTATCAACTTTCCAGTTGAATTCTTTCGCGCACACAATCCTCCGGGCCTGAAACCGCATGCTTAAATCTTCGAACTATACCTATGATTATGTTTCTGCGGAATCTTTTGATTGGGAACTGTCTTTGCAACCGTTCAAAGTGATCATTTGCTGCCACGAGTTTTACGTGACATGTCATTCGACGTCAGCATACCATTCTACCTGTGTTGACGTCGATTCCCTCTCGCGCTTACCTGGGGTATTGGCAGGTCTCATGAACAGACATTCGATTGATTCGGACAATTACTTCCGAAGCTAGTATTTACGCCTAGGTAATTGTACCTCTCCTGGTTGAGAATTCACTCAGGATTCGCTTAACTGTTCCTGAAACTTTTTTATTTAGGAAATAAAGTTTCAATGTCATTCTCAAGTGTTTCGACTTTCTTAATTTTACATAGTTTATTTTCGTTTTTGGTTACTTGACACATTTTGGACCAATTTTTCGCAGTTTTGCGCATCCTGGCAGGTGTAGCACGCTGTGCTTAAGCATCTCTTTGATGCATATGTGTTTCATTTTGAACTGTCGATCACATTTTGTAAGCGGGAATCTGCCGGAGACTGTTGACGAGCTGTGCAAAAAATGTATAGGTACTTGAGTAGAAGGTGGTAATTGCAGTCATAGGCCGCTACTGTTAGATGAATTGATGAATATATCTTATTTGAGCAAGACAAGAAACTACTATTGTTTTTTAGTGGGAACGATGTCCATGTGTCGTTTCTCTTTCCCTGGGAAATAAGCAATCCTGGGAAGCTCTTTCGTCTCTTACAGATAAGATTAGACTTTATTGGGCAGTGGCTTCCAATAAGTGTTCAGAGATTTTCTTCATCAGGAGTCAATACGGCTTTAGCCAATAGAACTTGCAACCGTCTTTTCAGTTTCATTCCCTTTCGTGTCTCTTTACATTTGTCAATGTTCCATCCACTATGCGACTGATTGATACTCAGAATGATTTTGGAAAAGACGGGGTTGTCGTTTCTAGCTCCGAATCCCATCCCACAATGAACCTTGATTGATGAGTATTTACAAAATACTACCAGATGTTATATTCAATATCCGCAACAGAATGCCGAGAATACCTAAAACCATCTTACAAGGTGACATTACAAAGACGAAAACATCAAAATGCGACTGTTTTATATAGTTTCTTCATGTATTTCAAGACAAATGCGATGGTTTGCAAATCAACTTAGAGATTCATGCAATCCCTCAGTTGTCAATAAGTATGTCAGTCTTTCTTAGCTTGTGTGTCCCTTCCATTTCCCGCAAGTCTACATTGCCTAATGGTCTATGATATTCCTTTAGATGTCACAGACGTCTACAGAGCCTTGCGTCCAAAGCGACCTGTATATATAGCCTGTCGTGTCCAAGCAAATGTGCCAACTGTGGCTCCTTTCTCCGAAGTTCCGAGAGGTGTCCTCTTTGAGATGCCCAATTTCCTGTTTCTCCGGCAAGAAATGAAAATTCAATACTAAATACTTCGATGAGAATGGAGTTGATTTGCTGCTACTCATCAGTTGGATGAAATAGGGAAAAAAATTGAAAAGGTACGGGCCACAAATCAAACAGATTTTTCATTTGTTTACTTCTTTGAAATAGCATGCACGCCTGTATATCATGCGGCGAGACAACTGCATTTTTAATTCATGGGTTCTACAAGGAACTACAGTTTCTCTTCTCAAGCGATTCCCGTACCCAATATTCTTTTAAGAGCGACCGCTATGATTTCACACTACGAATGGCACGGCAACGATTCAATCATGTCCCCCTCCTCCACGAACCTCTATGGTCACCTGACTTGGAAACTGGTGAATGCAGCCTGAAAACACTCCTGGGTAAAGTGTTTTTCGAATAGTTGGAAGGAAATAATTTATTCTCTATCTGAGCTTCAAGGAAGACCCAGACTTGGACAATGCCGTATTTTATTCATGTGACGGACACATTTGGGAAGAGAGAACGGGGGTCGAGGGATCGAATGAAAACCGGCTCACCACTGTCAGAACAAGAGCCAATGCCATTATTATTATGATAGTATATTCCGACCGCATATGCGATGTTGCCATAGTACACCACCAGGGGGCCTCCGTAATCTCCCTGCATATATTTTGGAAGAAACGAATATGAGTCTTAGGAGCAACAAAAGCCATTCAATCACAGGTTGCACATATTTCTAATTGTTCAATAATTTATCGCGTTTAATTTAATATTTTCGAAACCAAAATAATCATATTATAAAAGGAATAGATTTCTTAAATATGTGTGTATCTAAGGATGAAATCCGTTGACTTTAAGGACCAAATTGTGCAATTTGATTGCAATTCGACCTTCCCGGAAATACAATTAGACTGGGGCAAGGTGGCCTAAATAAAATGTTTAAACCCAAATAACTAGGAGACCATCATTGACGGTTAGAAACGATCTTCATTGGAAAAATTCAATACAAAGAGTAGATTAAATGAAGCCATTAAATGAAGTGCTAACCTCAAGCTTGCCAAATTAAACATTTTGTAAAGGAACATGCAACGTATTGCAAGAACCAGCGCTGGTCAATGGAAATCGTGGTTCATATTGTTTACTGCGAAGGTCGGCCACAAAATCCACACGAAAGTAATTGCTCAAGGTAGTGGTACTACAAGAGGTCACTTATTCCTAACGGGAGCATGCTTACAAATTTCCTACTACTACAAACGTTGAACATTATTGACAAATTTCTACAATTCAGATCGAAAGTAGTACCTTGAAATTTAGGATACTTATAGTTTTTTTCCAAATTGCTAGAGCCATATTTCATATATTGATAAACATTTTTCATAATTTAAAACACGACCCGCAAAACTCTGCACTCTTTTCTCACATCCATTTGTACGAAAGTCAAAAGTGCGTCCATTCATCAAAATCAAAGTAAGCCCTTCAATATTCCACTGTACGGGGTAAGAAATGCTTATGTACAACTAGCTAGAGACAGTGAAAATAATTATTGCAATATTTTGAAGATTTCCCTAGTCTCAACATACATTCCACTTCCAATATCACTTCAGGAACCCGGAGTAGAATCAGAAAGAGACCATTCAACTGGTTCCTCTTTTTTTTCTTGCAAATTCTACTTGTTCGAGACCTTTGGTATTCCTCCTTGTCAAAGATGTCTCGTTTATGCATCATGAGAAAAGAAAATATAAAGATGATCATTTGTGACTGACGGGAAAACTCCAACTCACCTAAATCATGAATATATATTTTACACGTGTATGTTACTGCTTCTAGGATGGAAATGAAAATAAATTCACTATTACCAACCGCAAGCCGTAAAAAACGCAGTATCGACAGTCGGATTTTTTCTGAACTCTGCATCCCAACACCAGGCAACTCCCTTCCTGAAGAAAGTGGATGTAAAGAGGTCCTGGGATTGCTCAGGAGGATCTAATATGACAATATGCATTCACACGGAAGGAGCCCCACAAACAGGAATCTGNAACATGGTTAGAATTAGCGTCAGTCAGTCACGATCGTCTATATATATTAGGTAAATCGTTGACTTCCCTCACTTCTATTTGCATTGCTTGTCATCAAAAGTTTTCACTCTCGAATTACTATCTATTATCAATGAGGGACCTGAAGTCTTTTTCCGCAAATAAGTTATGGGCCTTCATTGCCCTTTAAGAGGGAAAATAAAAAGTATTGTTGCAGAAAGTGACTTTATAAAAATTCGAACCTTCCACTGTGGATTACTCTAGACGTGGTCATGAGATGCACGATGGATTAACTATGATCAGCAGGGGGTTTAATCGTACATACTACAATTCACTAAAATGCACTGTAAGAAAGTGCTCTTGTGGCAGGACAGCGTCGAAAAAGGAAACTCACATTGCAGATTCCTGTTTGTGGGGCTCCTTCCGTGTGAATGCATATTGTCATATTAGATCCTCCTGAGCAATCCCAGGACCTCTTTACATCCACTTTCTTCAGGAAGGGAGTTGCCTGGTGTTGGTCATTGATTTCACCCCATCCAAAGACCGTCTGCTTGCAGGGTGTCGCGCTATTGGCATCGAAAAATCCCTTCGCCACACAAATTGGCTGAACGGTAGGCGAAAATGTCAACGGATTCTTGAGTTCGATGAAATAATTTTCTGAGGAAGAAAAGGAAGCGTTGAATTATAAACAAGTTATTTGGCATGCATTCATGCGAACTGATGAAAGTGAAAGATTGAAAAGGAGGAATGGTATATAAACCAAGCAATTATATGAAACTCGCTATTATGGTGGCATTGGCACTCAAATATTACAAGATATATAGGCGATCGTGACTGACGCTAGTTCTAACCATGTTCTGACATCTGGTAATTGGTACTCAAGTACCTATCGGGATGCGGAGTTTACTGAAAAATAACAGACTTCAGAGGTACATGCCCTGGGGGCATGCATTCTGGGGGGAAATGTTTTCCAGTTATATTTTTGCTTCTGTAAAGCGGAGAGTAATGGAAAACGGAATTCGACATGAACTTCTCTTCTGAGACCCTAAGTTCTAGGAGTATATGGTAGAGGCACCAGTTTGTGGACGAGCGCATACTTGTGGACAGTTTTGCGATTTTTGCCATTTCACAATTTGGCTTACAGGCGTGCCTCTATAGATAGAAGAGGTCTGCCAAGAATCACATTGGGATATTAAGAACCTTTTGAGATATTGACAGTTTTGTCACTGAAAAGTAACAAATTGTCCCTTGTCAGATAACACATTGAGTCATTCCAAATCAAATCAACACAATACAAATCATGACTTTCCAATTTTGAAATAATTTAAGCCAATGCTTTTTATATTGGGAAAAAGAAGGTATTCGATATATTTTTGTCTTCAGTCAATTAGATCGTAAGATAAGGGATAATGAAAAATTGGTATTATTTGTCTTCAAGTGGCACTTCCTCAATATCGTAATAACTTCTCTTCAAGCTAGAGAGATGCTTTATAACTTGTTGTGAAGCTCTTTTCCTGCTTTTTCGGATAATACCATTCTGGTAACTGTAATCTAAAACTGTAAAACGTGGTCATGAAATAGAGGCAATGAAATTTGAACTCATTTCGCTGAAATACATTCATTACAATTTCAGTCAAATTTCGTTTACACGTGTCCGTCAACAGGTAGAACACCTATATTAAAAATCAATGGAGATATAAATAACTTTGCCAGATATTCACTTTTCCCTATTCTCTCAATTCCCGAATCCGCTTTATGTCAAGAGATCATAGAAAATTTTCCCGTTTCAGTGAAAAAAGTCAAAATCTTAAAAAGTTAGTTAAATCCCCAACATTTACACGTGCCAACGAAATTTGACGTAAATCCCAGAGAAGATATTTCAGTAAAATGAGTTCATATTTCAGTCCATTTATTTCATGACAAACGACAATAGACAGCAAAAAAGATTTATTTCATAAATATTTATTTATTTGACAAATGGGAACCGTAAGAAAGATCCTAAGTCTGCCTCACGAAGAAATATTGGAGAAATGACTTCCATAATAACGTTGATCACGTCCCCCTTTGGCACGTATGTTGAGGACATACCTAAAAAAATATTTTGTCTTCGTTTCACAGGAGAAAACATTTAGTTGAAAAAACTCCCCCAGAATGCCTGGTCCCGGGACATGTACCTCCGAAGTAGGAATTTACCTGTTCTCTGCATCCCAATACGTACCTGTGTACCAAGTACTACATTTTTAACTTCTCTTTAAAAAAAAGGCTGGAATTAGCATCATTGACTTAGTTACTAACTCATCCAGTCACGACCATCTATATACTGTACTAGTTTGTTTGCCCTTCGGGCAAACAAACTCGCTGTGGTCGCGCCTTCGGCGCTCCATTACCTTGGATAGTGATTAATTCATTCATTTTTTGCGAAATGGAAAACACTTAAAGTACGTCCCCATTGAAATACATGACATTTGGGTCAAAAGTCTTGATTTTTATCGAACTCATTACCTCTATGATTCTATGTGTGCCTAAATTGAAATCTTTTCTTGTGACACTTTTTGTAAGGGTGGAAATACATTTTGAAGTACATCCCTCTTATAATCTACGCTAAGGAGACATATATCAAAATTAGGATTTTTCCTCTACTCAGGCAACAAACAGATACTTCTGAGGGAAGTTTAAATTTTCTGCCTCAGTTTCGTTGAATCAAAAAAAAAATCAGGAAATTGGGACTGAAAAAAAAGTCTCAAAATGGGATTCAACGAAAAATTTTTTTCTTTTGAAATGTAGACTCAGGGAACTCCATGCCGCCCAGTTTCAGCCTCATACATTTCCCCTTTTTGCTTGCGGAAAAAATGTATTTGGAAAAGCCGACCCACCCAAAAGCTATGCCCGGAGGGGATGCCCATAAAAGCTCAATACTCCCTCAGTTCAGTAATATCATGTCACTTATACGTGTGCCAAGTTTCACCTTTCCATTTCTGTCCAATTCGCTACGACAATTTCTTCTTTTTTTAAACATCGCCCCTCATGAACTTTTCCCCCGGGGAGGTATCAAGACTTAAAATTTTCTTTAACTCTTCGTCTCAGTAGCCACATTCATGCAAAGTTTCAGCTTTCCATGTATATCGGTTTAACTAATGCAAAAAAATCATGTGAAAACATCTCCCTTTGAAATTCATGCCCCCAGACCATTTCATTCCAAAGTTTGAATTTTTCTGCAGGCAGCATCCCGGTAGGTAATTATGTACCAAGTTTCATCTTTCCACACTAGCTCAATACACCACGACAAAAAAAAAACTTGAAATCGTTGGCCCCGAAAAATATGCCCCCAGGGGCATGGATATAAAATTTTGCATTTTTCCTGAACTTATCGTGTCGGTAGGCACGTCCATTCCACGTTTCAGCTTTCCATGTCTCTCTGTTATACTCACGCAACGGGACATGGAAGGCAAGAGAAGCCAAAAAAAAGGCAAGTAATGGCCGGGAATTGAACCCTGGTCTCACGATTACCGGTCCGATGTGCTACCACTACACCACCGAACATATATTTCCTTCATTCAAAGAGCAAGCAAACTCGCTAGTATCAGATATTTATTCCCATGTTGTCAAGGTTTGCAGTTTCATTACATAATTGGATTGATATATTTTGCTGCAATTAATATCACGAGATGTTTCTTCGAGAAGAATTCTGATTTGTGAAAAGATTATTCCTATGATGCTCGCAATACATAAAAATTTGAATTCCTGTGAAGTAATTTCATTTCTTCCAAAATATTGAACAAAATTATTTCCAGACCTGGTTAACAGTATTTTATCGAAAATTTGTTGTACATGTTTCGTGGCTGGTTGAAAAACCGAACCGAATGAACTACATTGACATACAAGTAAGACGATATGAGGTGGGTTGGTCAAATCGATGTTGTCGGAGCAAGAAATCAAATCGATATGAAGCTTTCTGAAGTTATTGCACCCATAAACGTAAATGTAAAGCACATCTTTGCGCATATCTCGAGACTGGAGAAAAATTCTTACTGGAAATGTATGAGCACGTTAGGCACACAAGAAACAATCGAAGTATTAGGTTGTTGCAAAAGTCCTGTCGGTGTTGAATGTAACATGTTCTAATAAGACTTCCAGGCTTCGACAATTCCTGGCGAGTGGGTGGTAGGTATGGGTATATAAGGACAGTCTGTTGTATCTCACTCATCCCATCATCTCTCATGGACTGTGAGAAATTCACGCCAACGCAGATCCATCTCCGTCACTGCATTCTCTTCCACTTCCACTCTCGCGTCGGAGCTACGGAAGCTCATCGCCGAGTGTGCGCAGTTTATGGCGGAGACATCATAAGTCTTCGCACGGTAGAACGATGGGTTGCCAAATTCTCTTCTGGAGACTACGACGTTGAAGACAGACCGCGGTCCGGACGCCCGACGGAGTTGGATTCTGATGCCCTGAAAGCAGAGCTGGAGAGCAACAGCCAGCAGACCACACGCGGATCGGCAAGCAGTCTCTCCTGCCACTATTCCACCGTATCCCGTGGCCTGGACAAGCTCGGCTTAGTGAATATGCTCGGCCGTTATGTGCCCCACGACCTTACACAGGCGAACAAGGACAGGCGGGTCGACTGTGCCACCGAACTCTTGACGAAGCGCCGGACACATGCTTGGCTCGATCACCTCATTACTGGGGATGAGTCGTGGGTCCTCTACGATACTCCCAAGAGGAAACACCACTGGCTGCGCTCCGGTTCCAAGCCTCCAGTACAGCCAAAAGGCAGTCTGCACCCGAAGAAGCTGTTGCTGTGCATCTGGTGGAGCGAACGAGGAGTTGAGTACTGGGAGCTGCTTCCAGAGAACTCAACGGTCACTGCCCGCATTTACACCACTCAGCTGGCAAATCTCAAAGCGAAACTGGACTCCGATCCTTACTGGGCAGGCCACGTGTTTTTCCAACACGATAACGCGCGCCCACACGTCGCGAACGTCACCCGCAGCACGCTACAGGGGTACGGCTGGGAAGTGATCTGTCACCCACCGTACTCCCCGGACCTTGCCCCTTCTGACTATCATCTATTCCGATCGCTGAAAAATCACCTGGCTGGGAGGAGCTTCACCGATCGACAGGCCATGGAAACCGGCCTCGCAGACTTCTTCGCCCCGAAGCCCAAGTCCTTCTACAGAGAAGGCATCCATGAGCTGCCCAGAAGATGGACGAAGGTCATCTGCAACTATGGCGAATATGTGGTCGATTAGGCCTCGCTTGTTGCAACGCTCTAAAGTTGAGAAAATAAAGTTGTCAATACCGACAGGACTTTTGCAACAACCTAATACTTATTTCGATGGAAATATCTGTTACTTCTCCATCGATACACATTTCGACATCCACATACTTTTAATAAGTTCATGTCTCTTTGAAAATAATTCACTGAATGAATCGCTATCGTGGACAATAGAGCGCCGAAGGCGCGACCATAGCGAGTTTCTTTGCTCTTCTGGCAAAGAAACTCCCTAGTATTGTATAAAGGGTGAGTTAAACGTTATGCCCATCTTTTGAAGGGTAATATTGGGATGGAAAGAAAGTATTTCAGCACTTTCTAAAACTATTTATAAAATTTTCAAAGGAATGATGGGCGGGGCTTTGCATTTCTATATGCTGGAATGTTCTCCAAGCTCCTGCCCTCGGGGTATCTAAGGCGGCTTCTGCCATTAGTTAGCAGCCATGGCTACGATCGAACAAGCAACTCTTCGCCCCATCGTCTATTACGAGTTCCCCTAGGACACTCTGCGAGAGCCGCCGCGGAAAACATCTGCGCTGCATTCAAGGGCAACGTCGTCCACTATTCAACGGTGTATCGATGGTTGAAACGCTTCGAATCTGGCGACACGACCATCGGAGATCGACCACGCTCAAGACGTCCATCTACAGTCGATGACGAAGCCCTGCGGAACGCCCTCAACGCGAAGCCGAACGCCACCACTCGCGAATCGGCGACTACACTTGGAGTCACCCATATGGCCATCAGCAACCATCTGAACGACCTCGGCTATCGGAAGGTTTACTCGACATGGGTCCCTCATCAGCTCAGCGACTCTGACAAAGCAAGCCGTGTCAGTGTCTACGAATCACTGCTCCTTCGTCCGCACAGAAAGGACCTTCTGAAGGAAATCGTTACTGGAGATGAGAGCTGGGTCCTCTACGTCGACCATACTCGCAAGCGTCAGTGGGTTCCACGAGGAGAATTGCCGCCACATGAACCGAAACCAGGGTTCCATGAGAAGGTTCTTCTCTGTTGTTGGTGGGATTCACAAGGAATGATGTTCTATGCGCTCCTGCCAACCGGTACCTGCGTGACTGCCGTCATCTACGTTGCTCAACTTCAGAAGTTGGCTGGCGTCTTTCAAAAAGAGTGTCCCAAACGCGACAAAGTTCTCCTTCTGCATGACAACGCTCGTCCACATGTTGCGAAGATGACTCGCCAAACAATTTCGAACCTGGGCTGGGAAGTTTTACCCCATCCAGCGTATTCTCCGGACTTGGCCCCTTCCGACTATCACTTGTTCCGGGCCCTCAAGAATCACCTGCGGGACAAGGCCTTCGACGATCGAGCACAGCTCGAAAATGATGTCGGCCGTTTCTTCGCTTCGCAATCGCCAGAGTTCTGAGCAAAGGGCATCGAGCAGTTACTCGTGCGTTGGGAACATGTCATAGACAAGAATGGTCATTATATTGTAGACTGAAATTGCATTTCAATAAAGTTATACAATTTTGGGCAAAGGCAAGATAATTCTATGCATGAGGAGGTATTTTTGCATTATTTTTCCGATGGAAATGAAATTCCCGTTCTTGGGTCATATAAATGCATTGGCTTCCAAAACATGCGTGCAGAATTGTCTACTTTTCTGTTAGACTGTCAGATAGTGTCCAGATTGGGGAAGGTTTGCTACGTTTCCTGTCCTGTCAAAATTTGAGCTGATATGGGCAAACAACATACGGCTGACGGTTTCTCTGAAAAATTTCGTCCAGTATTGTCGAGCGGTTTGCGTCGCATTCGGAGTAAACCGGAACTTTTGGAACTCGCTCATCAATGATCAATCGCTAATCAGCCATTTTCCTTAATTCTCTGTGTGTTGGAATTGATCACTGCCAAGGCACAATAACTCTCACACTCGAACAGACAATTGGATGCGGTGTCGTAAGCGTGGTTTCATATGCCAATGCCTTTGTATAACCCCCACGATATGAATTAAATTTTCGAATTATTCCATTCGCAAAATAATGCGAAAATCCTTCATTTGCTACAGAATTTTCTAGTCGTTCGAATGGTGAAAACCGCATCCCGATGAGTCCAAGCGTTGAGGGGTTATTCACGTTTACAGGGTGGGCAGGACTTTTGACTCGCTCAATTTAGATGATCGTGACTGAGTGAGTGATTGTAGCAAATTCTAAGCATTTTTTGTTGCTATGGAAAGATGAAACGTGGTTCGTGGGTTTTTATTAAGATTCTGAGTCCAGAAAAATTTTGACTTTGGGGTGTATGCCTGGGCGGCAAGCACTTTAGGGGGAAATGTTTCCAAATAATTTGTTTTCCTTCAGTGAAAAGGAGAGACATGGAAAGCTGAAACATGGTATGAATATGACGACTGACACTCAGATGATGAGAAAGGTCCGGTTTCCAAAGCATCTCTTGTGGGCATATTTTTTGGTTGTGATGTTTGTATATAATTATTTTTTCGCAATGGCGAATCCAGCAGAAACGGAGAGGTGACAAAGTTTCGTTCCTTTTAATCATTGTAGTATCATAGATTTTACGTCCTTCCCGTGGATGATGCATTTGAATTGCGATACGACTATGGGTTCCTTTTTCCTTTTATGAATAAGAGGAAGGGTTGTATGCAAATATTTACGTCAATATAGTCGTCTGTTTCCAGTTCTCTGCTTTTATGACAATTTTTAAGAACTCAACTAATAGGATTTCAATTTGTTCATCATTTACACATGGAACATGAAAGTCACTCACCTATATGACTCCCATGGGCTCTGGAAATGTCAGCACTTCGAGCGATGGTCGTTGTTCCGGAAATAATTTCCACGTTCAAAGTGGTATTCAAGCTGAAAAAAATTGATGCACAAATGGCGCCCTTAGTTATTCATAATCCCGTTCACGGATAACCATCCACCAACTAATGTTCCAGTTTGCTGCTGTCTACAGGACCAATAAGGTCTGCAAGGGTCTTGTAAAGGTTACGAGTAATAACGAAATTTTAGTTAAGCAAATCTTTTTTTCCCGCCGTTTTAGCATTTGGGGATAATTATTTGAGGATGGAGACTAAACTACTCAAATAACTGAAATGTAAGTGAGTGCTTCAGTATCTCCCATTGAATCACATTCGTGCCTCGGTGCAACATAAAACCTAACACCTGATGCAAGGATCCTCCCTCGATGGGCCATGCGAAATTTTAAATCCAACATGCAGAAGCAAATGAACGGGAAAGAGATACCTTATTACCTAGAAATTAAACACTGAAATAAAAATATAAGTACGTAAGACGTGTGCTGTAATCCTGGACTGTGTCTGCTCGGTGACAAGCAATATTGATAGAAATAATAGCCAAATTCCAAAGGAACCGATGGTAACCATTTTTCATTGTGATTCCATCAATTTTTCGGAAGCAACGTTCGGGTCACGCTATACTCCAACCTAACATACCAGGTAGCCCAAAGAAAACGTCTCGAATTTTACATGCCTGCAGTCGGTGTATCAAATGAGTTATTAGCCGGAAACTGGATGTATTTTAAATAGAATGTTCCCGGGTAGTGAAACAAAAGTTGCATTGAAATTGGAAATAATCTACGTGAGTAACAACTTTTCTCCCGCGCGATGTCAAAAGAGCGAGTGTGCAAAGAAACGGACCTGACCTCAATGAAAGAAGTGTTTGATGAGTCCTCCATGAATGTGCCCTCCTTGGATTGCCCGCCAAGGCAGCACGCCGTCAAACGCACAAACCTTTATTAACTCGTACGAAAAGAGCTCTTACTCATGTTAAGAGCATAGAATTTCATGAAAAATTTCCTAAAACCACCTACATGCATTGGATATGACACACTGAAAATTTCAAGACGATGCTTAGCATGGTGTCCTGTCTGCAGACGTACGAAGTTCAGGGCGATTTTTCGGGCCACCTGGTGTATAGATGGGCAAAACTAACTGCACTAGTCAGATATTTGAGTATTTAACATTCTGCGCCTAGAAATGTAGGAAAATTCATGTTTCCCATTTCTCACAAAGTTTCATTCCATATGGACGAAAATGACCATGCACTCATTGCTAACTAATAGAGGAAGGTGGGGCAAAATGGAGCGAGGGGCATAATGGGGCAATGCAGATTTTAACCAAACCATACCCGATATCTATCGGCTATTTACACTATTATAACCGTCCACGATCGGTGCAAAATTTTCAGGTACGGCGGCGCGCTCTAGGGTAGTTTTTAAACATACACGGAACAAAATTAGAAAACATCAACTTTTCTTATTCTGCTTGGGATTTTTTTTTCATGAGCGAAACAAAGTAACATGGGAACATTGGAGGCGTTCGAAATTATTTTTTGGCTGAAGATGAAAATGTGATTATTGTCATCTTTTTTTTGCATAGTTCACTCACCTTTTGTTGGCAATGTCTTTATTATAGACGGTGCTAATGGGGCAAAACGGGGTGACGGTGAGGGGGCAATATGGGGCGGTATAGCGGCTCTATATATCAATTCAAGACTAGATGGAATATCCATTACATTGGTAAGGCTCAGGCCGACGCGATGTGTTACTGTTGAGATTCTTTCACTCGCTCAAAACCCAGTGAAGATTGGGTCACCAGAATTCAGTTCATGACAGCTATGCAGGCATTGAACAGGACACGGATTGACGTCTTTTTCTGTGACATCTATAAATTTGCATCTATGATGAATACATGGATAACAATTTAAAACAGCAGCGATTATTTTGCCTTAAAAGTTTAATTGTTGTTTCCGTTCTGTTGCATTAGTAATTAGGCATGTAATGAAAATATTGGAAAATATGTGAAAAAAAAACAGGTTTAATTTTAAATGTTTCATTGCTCTTTCTGTTCTTTGACATTTGTAAGTGAGAATGAAGACTTGGGGAAACGAGAGAAAGCATCTGCTTGTGATTTATGGATGTTTCGTTGTGGTCCAGTTCTGCGAACTTTGTAAATAGGCATAAAATGATGACACAGGAAAAAACTTGAATAATAATTAGTATAGTAATAATAATTAGTTTTCTATTTGTAGATATATTGGTGTTTCTATTCTGTGACCTATTTAAATAGGTATGTAATATGAATGAAAATATTGTAATACACTATCTGGAGGAGCACCCCGTTCTGGCCTATGGGTGGGGAAAAATGGGGTGTTTGACCACAATTTTTAGAATTGCTGGGTGGGGAATTGTAGCTAATTTTGCGATGAAGTTGAATTTTATTTGTAGGCGAGATATGAAAGATATCGCATACCACTCCGCAACGTGCTACGCCAAATCCTTGGTTCGAAATTTTAGCAATTTTCCTGAACTTCCCGTTTGCCCCATTTTCCCCTACAAATAGACAATCGTCACTGAGAGACAGAATGACTTACTGACTGCTTGACGTTAATTTTAACCAAGTCCTAGAGCATATAGAAATTTGAAACGTGGTGTACAAGTAGCTATTGGGATCGGGAAAATCTGAATTTAGAGGTGAAAACCGAAGTGGCAATTAACTCTGGGGAAGGTTTTTTTAAAATAAGTTTTTTGCTCTAGTGAAATAGAAAGACATGGCACGATAAAACTTGACATGAGCGCGCCTACTAAGACACTAAAATCAGAAAACAATTTAAAGTTTCAGATGCATGCAATGTTGATATATTAATATATTTGCGGGTTACGTTTTCCAAGAATTTGAAAATTAAAGTTGGAAAGGGGACTTACACCCCCTCCACTTGCATGAATAAAACTTTTAATGGGTTGGGGTGTAACTGAAACATGGGATAACAGTCCTATGAAGGGAAAATATATTTGAAAATATTTCGACTCTATCTCAAGTCTCGTCATCTGTATAAGAATCGCACACTCTAACTATCCATCCCATGAAAAATAGTCAAGCTTTTGCCTAAAAATAATGTTGTTAAAACTCTGTCAAACTCGAATCATTTCCAGTGCTATATGAGTGCACCGGGAATTTTGGATGTTTCGGATAGTTCTTCCAATCACTGTTGCTTGAAGGTGTGATAATACATGTTTTGATTTAACAAAGAAACTGGTATTCACAAGGTCCACTCCTGTCGGTCGGCTTTTTCTCCAGTCTTTCATTCATCTTTCGTAAATGTTGCTGTTCATTCACACATCCATATTTCTCCAGACTTGGAATACATATTTTTATCAATACACCTTCTTTCGTTGCGGTAGGCATATATATGGTTTCAGCTCGCACAATTTCATATTTGCTCATCAGCATATTAAATGGTGAAATTTATTAGATGCCTAAGAGCTGTCACCCATGACATAAAAAAGGATTGGCCTTCGACAGAATTACTGATGTAGCACCAACGGTATGACATACATACAGTCGAATAAACTACATATATGAAAATACTGCCTATTGCTTCGTGAGAGAAAAATGTATACTTACAAATACACTCCACAAGGAAATGTAGCTGTCAAAATCGTGAAGTTTGTAATGATCGTGCCGCTGCAAGTTGCTGTGACGACTCCATTTGAATCCATGTACTGAATTTTAACCATCCAAGGAGCTTCATTGTTGGAAGTCAATGTAGTTCCTCCTTCGATCCTCGGTTCATGTTCCTCATCAGCAGTAGATTCATGGCCAGTAAGAAGCCCCCAGAACCATTCAAACCATGTAGGACGTCGCTCAGCAGCAAGGGTAGTGGAGACTAAATTGAATTTCCCACATGGAGTGTCTGTGCCAAAAGAAAACACAACGTGCCTTGTAATTTTTGGCAAAGAAAGAAATGAAATTTGTGCAACTTCTAGGTAAATCATTCGAGCAAAACATTTACCTCATGGTAAACAAATATAATAAGAATTCGTGGGATTTGGCCTTTTTTGTTTCATAATGTTCTCGTAGGTCAAACTTCAATGTCGTTGGCTTTTATGAGCCAAAGTATTATCCATTTTGCTTTTGGACGTCGGACACTGAGCAAGAAACGTTGAAGCTATGTAGATCGGATGCAGGTGCACCGGACTCACTGTCACTGTTCACTGTCTGAAAACTCTCAAAATTTGATGCAAATTAGCTTGTAGCTAAGAACTTTAGCCAAAGAAAAGCTTAAGGGGTACATACAAGTAAACTCTAACCCACGAACATTTTCATTATAACCCCGTCTTTAGGACGGGGTTTTAAACCCCGTCCTAAGGATAGAGTTTATAACCCGAACATAAGGAAGAGGTAGGTGTTATACCCCTTTCTCATTCCTAAAACGAGAACCCTTGCCGAGTGAGACCGCTAATCACCAGGTCCATCTCTCTCTAACATACTGTAGGGGGCATAAACATTCTGGCGTATTGGTTTTCATGTGGTCCAGCTGGATGAAAGGCTTTTCAATGCCTTCTATAAGTTGATTATTTTTAACGCATGCCCACTATCTTTAAACGAAAAATACGATTGGTGGATCTCGTCCATAAAAAATTATTGTAACAGAAGATTCACAGTTTGAAAACAATGAAATAAAAATTGATTGTGTATCTGCAGGAGTTATTGTGCTCTGGATTATGATCATCCTATGTTTCCTTGACAAATGAGAATGCCTAACCAATGCAGATCCAATGCAGATAATAACGAGGGATTTGTTACATTAATTAATCATTCGCAACGCAACGCGAGGAAAATGCAACGCATCTATGAATAATATATTGGGTGAGTCTCAAGGGTGAGTGAAGAGGAAAAAATGTGACGTGTGGAAGAAAGGTACAAGGTGATGTGAAACATCCGCAACTTAATAGTGGAAAATACCATTTGTGTATGAAAATCGATATTCCCACTAACAGAACTGTCGTGCATAACAAGTGCTCTCGTGAAGCAGTACCTTCTGTTATGTAACAAGGGACTTTTCAGGTATTCAGAACTTGCGTCATTCTCAAGGGTACAGTGATTACCATTGAGAAAATTGTTTATTTTCACAACTTTGTGTTCGGCGGCAGATGGAAGACTAGTACCCGCTGAATGGGGACTGGCAATCAGGGTGCTAGGGGTGAGAGAGGGCTTCTGACCCTTAGGGTGCCATGTACCAATTGGATTAGTTTAAAGGCGAGATAACGCGTTTACTAAAACATGCTGTGGAATGCGATCATCTCTGAAATGCACCACGGAAAATCAGATTAGTTTCCATTGACACGTTTATCCCCGACTTAAACACGCTTAAAAGCCGTGTGGTTGCACTTGGAACGAGAATGAATGAAAGCTGGTAATCCATTGTCCGAATCGAGCCGGCGACGGTTTGAAAGACGAAACCTTCAGAATTCCTATCATTTTAACCATTCAAGAGAGTTGAGTCGAGAATCTAAGAGGATTTTCTTCGTATGGGGAGCACGACTGCAGGCAATGTGAGGGTGAAGAGTTCAGAGACTTCGACCTCAGAAGACCGGTCTGGGGGTAGGGCAGATTGGGTCGAGTGCGGGGCAAGGCCTAAATTTGGCCAATGGTTTGGGTTTAAAAAAAATCAGCATTTCCAGGTGAAAGGACTCGCAAACACACTTTGTCTAATATTATTCACATCCTGCCTCGCTCCTGCACCACGACACTAATTCCGACTAGAGATAAGGGTTTGAACAACTATGTAGGCGAAACTAAAGAATACAAGGTGTCTCAGAAAAATGCATACACACTTTAATAAATGAAAGATATATGTTACTAGCGAGTTTGTTTTCCCTTCGGGCAAACAAACTCGCTATCGTCGCGCCTTCGGCGCTCCTTTACCTTGGATAGTGATTATATCAAGTATTCATTACAAAATAGCAAACACGTATTTAAAGTCCGTCGCCATTGCAATATGGATCGAATTTCTTGATTTTTATCAAAATCATTACTTCAATGCTTTTATGTACGACTAATTTGAAATCTTTTCTTATGTCCCTATCTGTGAGGGTGGAGAATACATTTTGAAACACTTCTCTCCAATGATCTACGCTAAGGAGACATATTTCAAAAGTAGGATTTTTCCAAATAAGCACGGATCAAACAGGTACTTCTAAGGGAAACTTAAATTTTGTCTGATTCGTTGGATCAAAAAAATTCAGGAAAATGGGAATTTAAAAAGTGCCCTGATGGGTTTTAACGAATTTTTTTTCTTTTCAAATGTAGACTCTGGGAACTCCATGCCACTCAATTTCAGCCTTATACGTTTCCCCTTTTTGCTGGTGGGAAAAAAATTAATTGAAAAAAAGCGACTACCCCAAAGTCTATGCTCTGAGGAGACACAGAACAAGTGTCTAATTTTTCCTTAAATCAATATCACGTCCGTTATGCGTGCGCCAGCTACTTTTCTATTTCTGCCCGAATCGTTCGGATATGAAAAGTTATTTGTAAACGTTACATCCCCAAGAAATATGAACCGCAAAAATATTTTGGAAATTTAAAGTTTGACATTTGAACTCAGTGCTTCAACGGTCACGTTTTTGACAAGTTTCAGCGTTCAAGATGTCTCCATTTGAAGCAAAGAGAACTATTTGAAAATATGTTCCCCGTATGTGTATGAAAATATGTGTATAATATTTTATTTGAAAATAAAATATTATACATTTGCGCTTTCCGCTGGTGAAAAAGCATGTTTGGAATAACCGACCCACCCAAAACCTATGCCCGGAGGGGATGCACCATGAAAGCTGAATTCACCTGAAAAGCTGAATCCTCAGCTTAGTTATATCATGTCGCTTAAACGTATTCCAAGTTTCACCTTTCCATTTATGTCCAATTCACCATGACAATTTTTTTCCCCAAACATCGCACCTCGAAAAAATTACCCACAGGGGATGTATCGAAACTTAACATTTTTCTTTACTTCCTTGTCCCAGTTGTCACATTAATGCAAAGTTTCAGCTTTCCATGTCACTCCGTTTTACTCAAGCAAAAATAATATTAAGAAGGGGGAATGAGTAATGGGACATGGAAGGCAAAAAAAGCCAAAAGAAAGCCTAGGAATGGCCGGGAATCGAACACGGATCTTTAGATTGCCAATCTGATATGCTACTACTACACCACCAAACCCTACCAATCCAGTTGACTTTCTGAATGCCATCCTTATCTGTCACAAAATATATTTCAGCAAAACCTTTCCCGCAAAATGTGTACCCCCAGGGCATGTACCTCCAAAGTCGGATTTTTTCTGAAATTTACATCCCATAGGTACATGTGTACCAAGTTTCAGATTTCTAATCCTTCTAGAACATGGTTAGAATAAGCGTCAGTCAGTCAGTTAGTCATGATCGTCTATATATATATTAGAAGTAATTCAAAGAGGTACAGTGTTTAGTGTGTGGAGAAGCAAATGTTTGAATCGCATGGTCCACTACCACAGATGTTCAAATTGTTCACCGTTAGCATCTAGGCACTGGTGAGAGCAGTGAGCAACAGTGCAAGAAACTTGCGGACAGATTTCAGATGGGATAGCAGCTCAGGACTCCTCAATTTCATGCGATCGTGTGAATGCTTGCATCGCAACAGCAGCATTTTCTTTACCTGTTGATGTATGAGATCGCCCAGAACATTGTTTGTGCATTACTGTACTAGTAATGTTCTGGGAAACCATGCACTGTACCATCAGCATCAAACTGATCATGAAATCTTGAAAGTTTTAGTCATGTTGGTGCCATAGTTGCAAGTTCATTCCTCCAAATTGCCTGCTGACTTGCGATCATTCCATTACACATTGTCATCTGTTAAGTACATGTCACATTAAACATGGTCCCTCTCTGAATTATTTCATATATACTCTAGATTCGATATATTTTATATATATAAGGGTAGCCCAAATGAAAGTGGGACTGCTGTCGGTTTGACAAATGGTTTAATGGTATCGGTGTGGTAGGTTTACAGGATAAAGAGTGATACATAAGGAACATAATGGCTATACATAGTTGCCTTGAAGGTTGATACAGGCGTCCCAGCGGTCCACGAGATGATGAATACCCTGGGTGAAGAACCTCCGGGATTGGCTGTGGAACCATTCTTCAACGGCGACCCGGACCTCTTGTCTTGGGAATGGGAATGGGAAGTCCTCGAACATCCCCCGTATAGCCCTGACCTCTCACCTTGCGACTACCATGTCTTTGGTCCACTCAAGAAAGCTCTTAAAGGACGGCAATTCGCAGACAATAAAGAGGTCCGGGTCGCCGTTGAAGAATGGTTCCACAGCCAATCCCGGAGGTTCTTCACCCAGGGTATTCATCATCTCGTGGACCGCTGGGACGCCTGTATCAACCTTCAAGGCAACTATGTATAGCCATTATGTTCCTTATGTATCACTCTTTATCCTGTAAACCTACCACACCGATACCATTAAACCATTTGTCAAACCGACAGCAGTCCCACTTTCATTTGGGCTACCCTTATATATATAAAATATATCGAATCTAGAGTATATATGAAATAATTCAGAGAGGGACCATGTTTAATGTGACATGTACTTAACAGATGNAGGAACCTAAAACCATATATTTTCAGAAAGAGCATGAAATGAACTTTCTTTCAGTTTTTTTTTTTACTCTGAAGCCCAAACCGTTTAGGAGATATTCACCTTTTTATACAGGGGCAAAAACTTTTGGCCCACCCTGTATATCTTGAAAACTTTGTCATTGAGATAGTATAGTTCTTACTGGAATGTCTACATTCAACATTCTACTGCAAGTATGAAGTTTATGAACCTGACATTGGCCTAAAGCAAAGATTCGCCAAACCGACACTAGATGGGGCCAAAGTAGTCGCTATAGCGTGTCAATTCCTGATATAGCTGGAATATATCCGTCGTTAGAGGTACCACAGTCCAATGAGTTTACAGAGAACTCTGGCTTTTACGATAGGAGGATGGTTCAGTTTCCAAGGTGACTGCACGGAAAGTGATTTTAGCGACCATCGACATCTTTCACATATGAAGGGATTTTCCTATATAGAATATATAAATGGTGGTGCCTCCCTTGTGGCGCGAGGTGCTGCACCCTTCCAGGCGCGGCCGCGAGCTTACTGAAATCGCACGAGCAAAGTTTTTCATAGCAGACAGTAGGAGAGGGGGAGGGCAAAAGAAGCAACTTGCCCCAGACTATACAGTAATACCCGGGGACCTCAACGGCGAGACCCTCCCAAACACGTAATTCATTCCCAAGTGCGGGACCGTCCCAAGATGTCAAAAGCACGTGTAACTCCCGAAGCAGCGAAGGCCTCTCCAGATACTTCTATATACCTTGGTACACTCTATGGGTATTCCTGACGGGGATATTTGACTCCTGAATATGATAGAGCTGATGATGAGATACAAAATTCTATTATTAATTTTAACTTCCCACGCGTTTCCACCACTCTCTCAGACTCTTCCAGACAATGTAGGACAGAATCATCAGTTCTACCGATCGGCAACATTTAGGCTCTTAATCCGAGCAACGCGAGCAGGGCTCTACTTAAGCTGAATGCAATTTAAGTGATGAAAATAACCTATCCAAGACGTTAGTTGTATATAGGATGAATCTTAAAAAAGAAAGTTTTATTGAACAGTTTCCCAGGAAATATCTAATTCACGTAGTTCCAGGAACGCATAATTTGAACTGTTCCTCATCGCTTTTAATTTTGAACATTCAAACTGTTAATAGAACGTTACCAAGGACATTAATGCAACTCTAGCCATAACTTGAATGAAGCATTCATTGAACACGTTCGGGTCCTACTTGGGTAGGTGGTCTCTGAAGATCATGGCGATTCCTTCCACGACAAAAAAGTATGTCCTTTCCTCCGGTTTGCAGCATGTTTTACCTGCCACTAGTTGAATGATATGCCTTTCAGTGAAGAAGCTCAGAAGAAGTCCCCCCGATGGTCTATAAACGACCCTTGTTAACTCTTATCCGGGCAAAGAGGGGTCTTTTGGACCCGAAGGCCTCAACATCTCTAAGCAACATTCGAAAAATTGCATACATTTTCCTGTATTTTTTTCAAACTTGAGGACCTGCAGGTAAAACTTATAGCGTGCGCGATCCTGGCCGTTAGCTATGCAGAGCAAAAAATGTGTGTTTATGTTTGCGTTTGTGAAAGCTCTACAAGCCAAACGCTTCCAGATATAAATTTGGGGTTTCAACAAAACTATTCCTTATCATCCGAGTATGTGCCTCTTCGAAATGAAATTTACAAATCAGTTTCGTGAAAGGGAGGGGAGGCAACTTTCATGGAAAATCGCTGTTTCGTTCTCGTATCGCTATTTCTTGGATAAAGGAGAAGACGAGAGTTGTATTGTTACTCGCAAGGGAACGATAGCATCCCCCCAAAATTATATATCATTCGATAGAAAATTGAACAAGCATAATTTTGCTTTTAAAAAATTGATATTGGCCCAACGAGGCCCAAGTTATTAATCGGTTTTGGCCCAAACTATAGATTTTTTTGCCCGCTGTAATAAACTATGATTCAATGACATGCTAAGATTACGTTAAATGATAGGTGAAATAAGCTAACATTGGCGCGTTCAGCGTTGCATAGCCGTTTCAGCTCGGGGGATTTTGCTCCTTTCTTTTTGTTCACCTTTCATGAGAATGCTCCATTCACATGGTCGAGTGTCAAAGATAATCACGGGTGAAATGAAACCAGCAGAATTTATACAAATGACCCTGCCTAAGTAGCACATGAACCCTCTCGAGGGCATTCAAATTGTCTTCCATTTTTCCCATCCAATGTAAACGGATGAGCACATTTCGTGCACCTTTCGTGTTGAAGTGTCGTTTGCTCTCAAAACATGCGGCATTTCAAAGACATTGGTTGAACGTTATGATATTGAGTATGAGGCGACTGCGGATACGATGAAGGTTTACCTAGAATGACAATTACAGCACGCTTCTCAGCCAGACTATTCCATAAAAGGGAAGATTTAACAAGAATATTTCACTACATATTCTTCTCTGACCCCTTGTCACTGGAGCAGGTCTTTACTTAGATTGGATGCAATGCGAGTGATTAAAAAAGTATCCAATACGTTAATTTCGTATTGGATGAGGCCTGAAAAAGAACGTTCATAGAACTATATTCTTTTCTTTGAAATATTCTATTCTTGTCCTATATTAGTTCACATAGTTCAAGGAACGCCTGAATTGAACTGTTTTTGATCGCTCTAAATTTTGGATATTTAAGCAGTCAATTCAACGTTCCCATGGACTTTCATGTAAAGCTGGCGGTACCATGAATTAAACGTTCTTTGAACACGTTTGGGTGGACCTTGGGTGGTAGTCTCTGAAGATCATGGTGACTCCTTCCACAGCAACAGAGTATTTCGTTTCTCCTGTTTGCAATAGTGCTACCTGCCACTAGTCAGTATTTCTTTGTCTTTTAAGGCAAGGAGCCCCTGACCCCAGAAAAACTCCAACTTGAAACGTTATTAAAAGTATTTTTTAAAATTCATTTTGATTGGAGTAACTTAACTGGTGGTTCCATTGGAGATTAGACCCCTTCTACATTCCTTGTACGAAACATGTAATCCACTGATTCCCCCATATTTTACAGCGTTTCACCTAATGTTTGCCTGAAGGGCCTCCTGACAACTAGTGTAAGAGACGTAAAGGGAGAAAAGAGGGTAATTACAGATTTTATCTTTGGCTTATAGGAGAGGACTACTCCGCTACCAGGATTTTGAGATAAGAAGAGTAGCAAAGTAGAAATTCGTTTAAACCCAGTAGAATATTCCCCCTAGCGCATTCGCTGGGGCCATATTCCTTTGAGTGACGATTGCAATTAATACATTTTTGCCCTGGTGAATCCAGCAGAAACAAAGAGGTTAAATATGACACACACATAGCTGACATGATCTTGATTTTAGGAAAATTTAAATTTTTGTGGCGCATCCCCTCAGACCACAGCTTTTGGATGCGTCGCCTTTGCAAATGCATTTCTACTCGAGCAAAAATATGCAACTGTGTAAGACTGAATCTTTGTGAGCACGGAGTTTTCTGAGTACCTATATAAGACCAAAATCCTATGGTTTGGGTAAATCCCCTCAGAGCACATATTTTGTATGAGGCGTATTTTCCAAGATCTTTCAGATTAGTCAGAAAACAGGTAAAATATTAGTCGGATCAGTTTGACCTGAACCCTGGTTCATATCATTTAATGAAATGATTTCGAAATTAGACCAAAAGGTTTATTTTATCACCTCAATTCAAACAAAACCACAACAATCATTGCAAATAAGAAACTATCAGCGCATTAGTTAATATTTGGAGACTGTGAGCAAGGTCGTTGAAAACTTTCTAAAGTGGTTCAAATAGCGCAACAAAGCCGGAGGTGGACGCTTTGAAAGAAAGTGATTATATAGTGATCCCGAGATTGTAAACTGTTTTTGTTCTCACTGGTTGTACAACTTTGGCCATTTTCATTCAATTACTTCATGTTTTATTTTCTCCAGGTATTTTTGCCTCTCCCTGTATATTCCGATATATTTGATTGAATAACTGTAATTTTTTAAATAGAATTTAGTGAAAAATACACGGCAGCGTATTAAACTGAGATTCCAGATTGTGATATCAAGAGGCGACTTCATCTATTTCGATATCAAGTGTCGAGGTCGAGCATTCCTTAATTTTAGCTTAGGCCTAACCCTCTAAAAGCTAAGTATTTTTGTTTGTTTTTTTCCTTTTTTTTCGCATCCTAGTTGCTTACTGTCTAGTACCTAGTGTCAATATTGCCCCCCACCTTTTTGCCTCTCCACGAAAGCATCCAGTTTCTTCTTAAAGACAGTCTCTGAAGGGCAGCCACTACTTCGTCATCTAACGCATTCCACGCGTTCACCATTCCGCAAGTAAAGAATTCCTGTCTCGACCTTAGCCGTACCTACGGCTTGCGCAACTAAAGTCGGTTACCTCTCGTTCTCTTGCTGTCATGAAACTGGAAAAACCTACCACACTCGACCTTCAGGAATTGCAAGACATTCATCAATTAGCAACCATATATAGGCCAAGTATATAGGCCTCCGAGAAGAATACGTAAGAACACATATACGTCCGGAAAGTCCAAAAAACTTATTAAACCTCGCTCGGCTCTAGCCCTATCCGCCTCCCACCTTATAGTAAAACCTATATTGGTGTCGTCGGCAAATTTACTCATCTTACCCTCTACGCCGAGATCCAAATCGTTTATGAAGACCAAAAACAGAAGCGGTCGAAGGACCTCGCCTTGAGAGACACCGCTTGCGACTCCGACCTCCCTCGACGCTTCCCAATTATCATCACCCGTTGCCCTCGTCCTGCCAACCAACTACTGATCCGCTCGCTCGTCCTACCCTGGATCCCGTGCGCCTCCAGTTTAACCCGCAACCTCTTCCGAGGAACGGTATCGAAAGCTTTCGGATCATAGATTTGGTAGCCGATAGGCCTCGAAGCCCTTTCCTTTCCATGTCATAGGATAAGCGCGTTTCGTGATTCGTCCATGCAACTGATTTCGCCAACAAGTCTGTGTCTTTGCAGGACCTATGCTGGGTGAGATGTGTTAAACAGCTTAACAATGTGTGATGTAATGCGCCCGCGGAAGAATAGCGGCGAGGCTGCGTAGGTCTGCTCTGACTTATGAGCAAATTGCTGACATCAATGCAGAGAGGGGAGGTGCATTAATTGCAGAGCAATATCAGGCTGTTAACGCTGCGCAAAGAGCAGCACGTGTACGTGGAAAACCTTCAACCATACTCGAGTTGC